GGGGAGAGACACACGCTAGGGGTGCTGGTAAAGCAGCGATGAGGGGTGGTGGTGATGGTGTGTAACCGGCAGGGGTTGCAGGTGGAGGGAACTCACCACTAGCTTTCGTAAGTCCACGCTGGGGAAGACCAGTGTAAAGATCCCACTTTTCCTAAAGGCAGTGGGCCATGCCAGTGGGGCAGAGGGACTTTTCTGATGTCTTCAAGTATGCCTTCTTTCTTGAAGACATCAGCGAAGTTTCTTTTTGTTATCACTTCTTTCAAATTTTGTTCCCTCACTGCTGTCTTTCATTCCGCTTTCATTGTCGAAAGTGGTTGCACGATGTGGCTTCAGTGTGCGAGGAGACAATACAAGACTATACTGGCAGAGCTGAGAGGCCCAAAGTGAATGGTGGCTCACATGGCCATCCAGAAGCAGCAACACAGGCTTCTTCAAAGCTGCTGTATCTGGAATGAACACATTCTCCAACCAGTCACCAAAGACCTCTTGATTTATCCATCCGTTGGACGAGCGGGCAACGAAGGACTCCTGGAAGATGTCTTGGGGGCGGAAACCACGAACTGTGTGCCGGGGTAGATGAGCATTCGCTTTGTGTAGTGGCCCACGGCGTTTGCACACACCAAGGCAGTGATCGTCGTGTGGGTCTCACTGCCAACTTCGTACGTATACTTGTTGTTCATATCCCCGAGGACTCTCCCAGAAGTCGCGTCCACAGCGAAGCCCGACTCTTCAGGGTTAAAAATCCTGCCCAGTTCTAGTAGGATGGTGGGTTCTATGGATTTGACTCTTGTGTCGCAGGGAAGCAAGCGAACCACCCCTCAATAGCTTCAGCTGTAAGGCTTGCCCGCATAATGCCAAGCTTGTGGCTTCCTAAATGTGATGGTTGGGCGCCGCTGGCGGAACAGCCGAAACCACTTGCCACTAGGCTTGTTTTCTGGCCAAGGTGTCTCCCTGCCTCGAACGTCGAGGAACCCTTTCACAGTCAGAAGCAGCTCCTCCTTGGTGCGGCCGAAGCCAGGGTTCGGAAGAGCCAGTCCACAACCTGTCAGGTGCAAGACAAAAGAAAAGTTGATTACATTTTTTTAAAATCTGGAAAGATCTGTAACATGATTTTCTAAGAAAGGATAAAATGCACAGAATCATCAGCATGACAAATATTGCCATAATTTTTTTCCAGAGGAAAAAGATATAATGCATTGAAACAAACAGAATCTGGAAGAAAAAGTGGTTGGATTACATACCGTACATAATCATGTCATAGATATTGTACACATCATGGACTTAAGATCAGTCCCAGATTTCCCAGGGAGACAAGAACTCTAAAGTATCTGATCTGATCTTACCTTT